GCCGGGAGGGCCTGGGCATTGGCGGCCTCTGAGGAGGTAGCGCTACATTCCAGTAATTTTTCCTCTATCAGAGAGTCAAATGGTATCTGCAAATCAGCTTGTCCTTCTGAAGAAAACTCCTCCATTTCCTTATTATAGGTCGTCTGCTCATTTATATCAAGGCTGTTTCCCAGTATCAATTGATAATCCAACTGTACATTTGCTTCTTCCATCTCAGTGGACTGAGAGCAAGTCTCTTGAATATAAACTGCAGTTTCACTTAAATCTTGTGCTTGACTTTGTCGATGTAGAGAAATCTCCTTTTTGCAGGCAATTATAATCCCCGTGTTTTCTAAGATTTTGTCCAAAATATATTTATAAATAGAATCTGAACAGATTTCCTCCATTTTTGTCATATTTGAAGACATTATCTTTTGGGGGGAGACTGTATTTAAAAGCAATCGATCAATATCCATCTCCTCCCAAGTTTCTTAGTCTTTTTCCTTTATACAGATTCCAAGAGAAAAAAAAATAGCAAGAACAATACATAGTTTCAGCAGAAGATGTCCCCCCATGAATAATCAAAGTTAATCAAATAATCAGTCTTTTCGGATACCCTAAAAAATAAAAAAAACAATACTCTCCAGATACATAGCATCTTAAATCTCTCTAAAAAAGTATTCTTGGGGCTCCCAAGTATCCAAAAATAAAATCAGCTATTAAAACAAACAAAAAAAAAAATCCGTCCTTTTCTTAAGCTTCTCTTCCCCCATTTAAAACGCCGCTTCAACAAAAAGGGAAATAATTCGAAAAAAATTTTTTCACAGGAAAAATAAAGAAAATAAAGGTAAAAGAAAAGTCTCACCGAATCTTCCATGGTGGGTCTGCTTGCTTAGATGATCTTATGGCTCATGGTTGGTGCAGCTAAATGATCGGCCACTTTACTGGCCGATCTTTACCCTGTCGGCCCAAAGGAGATACTCGGTGCACAGAGGATGCCGCCGCTCCTCTGCAACTATCCAAGAGGCCTCCTCAATGGTAGACGCTCCTCCAGAGCGTCTTTTCGACCCTCTAAGGGGTCTACCGGCAGGGGAAACTCGATCGACAAAGGGACGACTCCCTTCGCCCGACCGCACCGCTGCAAACCGGAACCGGAACCGGAAGCCATCTCCATTTGTTTTTTAAGTATTTTCTTTTGTGGGTCTATTTGTAGTTCTAGTTCTAATTTTCTAAATCAGGGGTGTCAAACTGCCAGCCCACGGGCCGGATGCGGCATGCCAAAACCGTGCCCACCCCATTGCCGGCAATGGAAAAAAAGTCACGATACGTCACGACACATCACGTGACGTTGCATGTTCGACACCCCTGTTCTAAATTCTTCCTTCAACTTTAACTGTTGTTGTCTTCTTTCTTTGTTCTTTTTAGCAGTATAGGTTATAGCCATCCTCTGAAATATGCTTTAGCTGTGAGGTTAACGCCAGTGGCTTCGGACGTGCAGAAGCTGCTCGCGCTCTGTCTGCGGGGCTAGGGCTTTTCTTGGGTACAGATTGGCGACGATCTCGCCAGTCATCGTACTCACTTGCATGCAAGGAGTGGGAGAGCTGCTCCCCACTCTTTACTTCCAGCCCCTTGAACCTCTCCACTAACTTCTCTACCAATTGGCTGTGGACTGCAGACAGGTATTTCCACTCTCCAGAGTCATCAGTGGCTGCTAATCTTTTGGCTCCCCGGCGGTCTGGGGAGCGTGACTCTCGCGAGGCCCTGCCTGCAAGTTGGCCTCAGACGCTTTCGAGGAGCTCTTCTTAGGCAAGGTTGTCTCGGGATGCTTGGAGTCTCCGCTGGGCAGGGTCCACTCCGAGGACCACAGCAGCTCCCACGTCTTTGGTCTTGCCCCCATTTTCAAGACTTCCGAACTTCTCTTTTCTGTCAGTGCGATGGCTTGCGCTCCCTCCGCTGAGGCAGCAGCCATGGCCGGGGTGCTGGTTACAGGTGCTTCTTCCTTCTCCATGCTGAGATCTTCCCTGAGTCGTTGTCGGCCTATCCCTTGACTTCGGGAAGGTGACTGGAGCTCAGGACCCCAAGATGGTTAACGTAGAAGGTAGTTTTGGGTTAATGTCATGGTTTCAATAAATGCAACCCATCAAAAGAACTTCAAGGCAAGAATTCTTCCTTAAAGAACATTTTATTAGGATACACAGTATCGACACTACATAGTTGAACCCAAAACTAAATTCCCTTCCCCCAGATACAAAGTAACAAGTTGCAATTCCCACCCCCTGGAAGCAGTCATAAATCACATTCTCCAATTAGCCTGAAGCGCAGGCTCCCTCTCCAGCTCCTCAGCCTGCCAAAATGTTATCAGTTTGTGTCATTGAGTTCCCACGAAGTTGCACTATTATTGTGGCTAGCTGAGCTCAAACATTCACCCCATCCCCCTTCTACATCTGATTCTTAAACAGCAGAAAAAGCACGCTGAAAGCAGAGTAAAAATGGTTGCAATTTCCCTTAGTTGTCAGAGCGGGAACATCCATTGTCACAGTGTTGACACCGTTTATGTTCATTGACAGGATCCCACTTTCTTTCTCCATCTCTTTCAATTATATCTAGGTCTTAATCTTCTAGTTGATCTTATCTGTCTCTGTTCTCTTGGTCTTGCCCCTTCTTCTGTATATGTTTTTTTAATTTCTTCTTCCTCTCTTGGTTTAGCTGCTCCTTCCCCCCCCCCCCGATATATTTTATTGATTGTTTTAAACATAAATCACTTAATAGTTGGTAAACAGTGTGTTTGCTGGATTTACATTTGTAAAGAAAAATCATTAACAATTGGTTTCTATAATCCATAATCCACATAGTACATTTAGTTGATTTCCCCTTTTCCCCAAAATGTCTTCTTTGCAAACCTTGAAATAATACAGTTCTTATTATTTTGATAAAAACAGTTATATATATGATTTCCCCCCCAATATTCCTAGAAATAATGATCACATCAATATAATATTTCTTTTCTATCTAATCATTCTGGTTGCCTCATCTTATATCCTGTTACAGTCCTTATTTAGATTTGTTTCTCCCATAAAGTTCAAAGTATTCTTGCTGGTTAAGATTTTCTCAACAGATAATTACATTTAAAAATTTAAATCCATTTTTCCCATATAAACCATCTCAACACTTTTACATTTCAATAATAATAATAATAATAATAATAATAATAATAATAATAATAATAATAATAATAATAATAATAATAATAATAATAATAATAATAATAATAATAATAATAATAATAATAATAATAAAGTTGGAAGGGACCTTGGAGGTCATCTAGTCCAACCCGTTGCTCAGGCAGGAAACCTTATACCATTTCAGACAAATGGCTGTCCAGTCTCTTCTTAAAAACTTCCAGTGTTGGAGCATTCATCACTTCTGGAGGCAGGTTGTTCCACTGGTTAATTGTTCTAACTGTCAGGAAGTTTCTCCTTAGTTCTAGGTTGCTTCTCTCCTTGATTAGTTTCCATCCATTGCTTCTTGTCCTGCCTTCAGGCGCTTTGGAGAATAGCTTGAGTGCCTCCTCTTTGTGGCAGCCCCTGAGATATTGGAACACTGCTATCATGTCCCCCCTCATCCTTCTCTTCATTAAACTAGACATACCCAATTCCAACAACCGTTCCTTATATGTTTTAGCCTCCACTCCCCTAATCATCTTTGTTGCTCTTCTCTGTACTCTTTCTAGAGTCTCAACATCTTTTTTACATCCTGGTGACCAAAACTGGATGCAGTATTCCAAGTGTGGCCTTACCAAGGCATTGTAAAGTGGTATTAATACTTCACGTGATCTTGATTCTATCCCTCTGTTAATGCAGCCTAACACTGTGTTGGCTTTTTTGGCAGCTGCAGCACACTGCTGGCTCATATCTAAGTGATTGTCCACTAGGACTCCGAGATCCCTCTCACAGTTACTACTATTGAGCAAGGTACCACCTATACCCGTGGTGGCGAACCTAGGGCATGCGTGCCACAGGCGGCACGTGGAGCCATCCCTGTGGGCACGCGCACCATCGCCCCAGAGGGAGGCGGGGCCAGGCTGCTCCCCGCCCCCTCTCCACATGCGCCTGCGCTCTTGCTCTCTTTCTGCACTGGTAGTCAGGGAGCAGCTGCAAGAGCTGGGCGGATCCAGGCTGGATGGTGGAGGCAGATGCCAGCATGAGTCCAGGTAAGCCTCCGGAGCGATTTCGCGTCCCCCCCATGGCCGATCCGGGCTGCTGAGGCCTTTTTGAAGCCTCTGGATCTCGCATCCATGGCCGCGGGGTGATTTTGCAGTGCGCCAGCAGCCCGATCCGGGCTCCGGAGGCCTGCAAAAGGCCTCTGCCCCATGGATCTAGGGCTGCACAGCGATTTTGCACCCCCCCCACTGGGAGTCAAAGGCCAGCTGTGACCACCTTGCCCCTGGTCAGAAGGAGCCGGCCACCCAGGCTATGGGGGCGGACAGGGGTTCTGCTCTCCCAAAAGGCCAACTCCTGGCTGGCAACCTGCCTGGAGGCCCCGCCCTGTCAGCGCCTGGTCAGGGCTTGAGGCAGAGAGGCCACACCGGGGGTCCGGCCATTGCCGCCCAGGCCTCTCTCTGCCAAGGCTGCTGAGGGGCGTTCAGCAGGGCAGGGCAGCCGCCCATGCCCGGAATCCCCAGACAGCCACCGGGTGGCGGCAAGGAGACGGCCTGGCTTCCCCTCATTGCTGTTGGCCCTCTGGGCTCTGCGGCCCAGTGCCTCCCTCCCCCCACAGGTTGTAAGGCCGGGGTTGTGGCTGGAGCGTGGGTGTGGTCAGAGCCGCTCGGCCCTCCAGCTGCCTCCTCCCGGCCATGCGGCAGACCAGGCAGCGCTGCATGCCACTTTAAGGGGAGCAGCCACGAGGGAGGCGCCCGCTGCAGGACTCCGGGCGAACAAAGGGCAGCCTGCCGGGGAGGGACCGGAGCCGCACCTGCCCACCCGCTCTTCCTCCAAACCGGGTGTCCCGCTTGCTTCTTTCAGAGCCGGCCCGGCCACAGCCACCAATGCGGAGCCACCGAAGTGCCGCCCACCTTGCCCGGAGCCACCCTTGGCCGCTGCCTCGGTCCCTCTGCCGCGTTGCGGCAAATGGCCGGTTTCGGTGTGGTGCGGATCTTTGCCTCTGGCCGGAGACAAACAGCCGGCAAATGGCCAGTTTCAGCATGGTGCAGATCTTTGCCTCCAGTTGGCAGCAAAGAGCCGTGCCACGCCAAAACCGGGCGTTTTCCGCCTCCTGCCCAGTGCCGCTGCCATGAGGCCACAGAACAAGCTGGGTGGAGGTAAGGAACCAGGTCGGGGCTCTGTAAGGGTTGGGTTGGGGCGGCGGGAGAACGGCCAGGAGCCAGCCAACCAGCCAGCGAGCAAGAGCAGGGTTGGTTGGGGGGATTGGGATCTGGCCCCTTTTACCTCCTCCAGGGGCCGGGAAGAAGTTGCCTGCTCAGCCACGTGTGCAGTGGAGGCGGTGGAGGTGGAGGCGGCCCAGGCAGGCACTGGTAAGCCAGGCAGGGCCGAGCAGGACCGAGCGAGCGACATCAGGGTTAGGTGGGAGGATCGGGATCTGGCCCCTTTTACCTCATCCAGGGGCCGGGAAGAAGTTGCCTGCTCAGCCACGTGCATGGTGGAGGCGGTGGAGGTGGCTTGGGCAGGCTCTGATTAAGCTGGGATGAGCACCAAGCAGGGACGAGCGCTTCCCTGCCTGCATCCAGGACACCATCTTGCTGGTGCTTAAGGGCTACGACTGGAGCCTGGTGCCCATGCTGGTGTGGGGCAACGGGGCGCTGAAGGCCAAGCTGCATGTCGAGCGGCCCATGAATGACTTCCAGGTCTGGGCGCAGGCGGCGTGCAGGAAGCTGGCCGACCAGTACCCGCACCTGCAGAACGCCGAGCTCAGCAAGATGCTGGGCAAGCTCTGGCAGTGAGTGGGCCGCCTTGAAATCCGATTTGACTTTCATCGGTTTCTCCCTGCAGGCAATTCCTGTCCTGTTGGGTGTTGGTTTGATGAAGGAGGGGAGCTGCGCATTGGAAGGGTTGAAAAATTAGGAGCTCCCTAACTTTAAGTGGACACCCATGTTCAGGAGGGATCAAACTGGAACGGGGTGATGTAGTCCCAAACATACATGTGTGTGCAAAACCTGGCTCTCATGGAGGTGTTTCCAAACATTGGCTTACAACAGGGCTCTTCAAACTTGGCCCTTTTATGACTTGTGGACTTCAACTCCCAGAATTCTTCAGCCAGCATCCTCCCTTCCTTTGAAACAAACAACCCCCCCCACCCCAATCCTCCCGGTCCTGCCTTCTGAATTAAAACGAGAGAAAGCCAAGTTTTTTCTTTTGTGGTCTTTACGTATTTAAACTGCAGCTAGAAGGAAGTGGGGAAGAAAACCATCACAAGACACTCTTCTGTTTTAACTTTTTTTCCTTGATGCTTTTTGGAGTTTTCATCCTGCTTTCGTGAGAGGGCAGCGTTTGGGAGGGGGTGTAGCTGCCCCCTTCCCCCCCCAAGCCATCAGCTGAGCAAGATGCCTGCCTGCCCGCGCTCTTCCCCCTGTCCGAGGCTTTTGTTGTCGAGAGCATTTCTGTTGAGGATTGGCTGGGGGGGGGGCTGTTTGGTTTTTATTCCCCTCCCATCTTCTGGGTGGTTGCAACAGGTTTTGGTCTCTTCTGTCGTGCTTTGAGGTTACCCACGAAGGATGTTCGTTTTGGGGGAGATCCCCACCCCGGTTGCAAAGCCTGCTTAAACCCTCTTCCACCTCCTCCTCACCGGAGCCCCCCTTTGTCTGCAACCCGTCCCTGCCCCAGCCCCTGCCTCGCCTTGCCTTGCCTCACTCTTTAGGACGAGCCTCCTGCCCACTGTCCCACCCACCAGAGACCCCCTGGATCTCCCCCCAACCCTGCCCGGTCCCCACAGGCATCCCTCCCCAGTAGGAGCATCAAGGTGGCCACGCCCACCCTGGCCACACCCACCCATGCTGCCATGACTACCATAGCCACGCCCACCCAGTGGGGCACGCCCACCCGGCACCCGGTGATGCATAAGTGGGTTTTGGGTTGCAGTTTGGGCACTCGGTCTCTAAAAGGTTCGCCACCACTGACCTATACTATACCTGTAAATTTGGGTTTTCTTGCCTAAATGTAGAACCTTACTTTTTTCACCATTGAATTTCATTTTGTTAGATAGCACCCAGTGTTCAAGTCTGTCCAGATCCTCCTGTATCTTAAGCCTATCTTCTGGAGTGTTGGCTATTCCTGCCAGCTTGGTGTCGTCTGCAAATTTGATGAGTTCCCCATCTATCCCCTTGTCCAAATCGTTGATGAAGATGTTGAAGAACACTGGGCCTGTTGTGGCTCCGTCTTGTGAGCCCCTCTTATCGGAGGAAGAAGGCTCCGAACATGAAGGAGAGGAGATGGCCAGGCCTCCCTCTCCAGGACCCTCCTCTTTGGCAATGCCTCAGGTGTCTCCCGACGGAGAAGAGATTGACCAGGAGCCAGGTGTTTCTGAGATTGGCCAGGAGCCAGGTGTTTCGGATAGTGAGGAAGAGAAGTTGTGGCTGGATCCACGCCAATCAGCTCCTAAAGCAGCAACTGGCTTTGGGAAATGCTCCTGCAGCTCTTCCCCCCCTCCTCCTCCTCCCCGTTCGGGATGCCCAGTGAACATGCCAGAGAGATTTTCTGGGCAGACAGAGCTGTTCCCGGCCTTCATGGGACAATGCCAACTCTTTATGGCGATGAGGCCGGAGGAGTTTCTGGATGATCGGGCTCGGGTGGCATTCGTGATTAGCTTCCTTTCTGGCTCTGCCGCCTGATGGGCCACGCCCCTGTTGTTGCAAAACAGCCTATTACTCCTGGACTATCAGGGCTTTTTGCAACACCTGCGGGTGATGTACGAGGACCCCCTGCGCGTTCAGACGGCAGCGAGGCGCATCAAGGACCTCCGCCAAGGAAAGCGCGCCCTGCAGGACTATATCGCTGAGTTCCGACTTCTAGGCCAGGACTCGGCGTGGAATGAGGCGGCGCTGATGGATGCCTTCCAGGACGGCCTCTCAGACGATCTGCAGGACGAACTGGTTCGGGTGGAGGTGCCTCAGACCCTCGACGCCCTGGTGATCCAATGCCTGCGCATCGATGCCCGCCTTCAATGGCGACGGCCTCGTCGGCCCCTTCCGGGACCACTGACAGCTTCGGCACCCCCGCGTTTCGCACCGACAGTATCCCGGACCACCCCACGCTTTGTGGCCACGGCTGAGGAGCCCATGGAGCTCGGAGCAGCTAGACCTCAACTGACGGCCCAGGAGCGGATGCGGAGATGCCAAGGGGGATTGTGCCTCTATTGCGGCGAGGCTGGACATTTTGCCGCCTCGTGTCCCAGGAAGCGGAGTGGGGGCGCTCAAGCCTGTTCCGGAATCTCGGCGCGACCAACCGGGAAACGGGCCAGGCCTGGCCTAGGGGAAACCCTGGGCCAGGCACGTAGCCATGCCCCACCGGAGTCGGCAACTGTGGACTGTGAGCCCCCTCGGCACCTGATTCTGGACACCCGGGTGTTGTTGGCCAATCGGTCGGAGGGGCTTCAGGCACATGCGCTGGTGGACTCCGGGGCCACGACGAACTTCATGGGCCAGGCCTTTGTGGCCTTTTTTAAGGTTCCCTTGGTTCCGGTGGACCCTCCATTGAGGGTTGAGACTATCGATGGACGGGAACTCGTGGCAGGGCCCATCAAATTTGCTACCCAGCCCTTGCGCCTCACCATTGGGAACCACGAGGAGGCGATCCAGTTCTATGTGACGGCGGACCTGCATTTTCCATTGGTCCTGGGGATGGCCTGGCTTCGGGCCCACGATCCTCAGGTGGCATGGTCGAGAAACGCCATCTCATTCCCGAGCCTGCAGTGCGTCGACCATCTCCGCCACACCTGTGCCGGCCAGGACGTCTCCACCCCAGCCGTCTCTTTGCCTCCTGAGCTGACGCGCTTCGCCGATGTGTTCAGCGAAAAGGAGGCGGACCGATTACCCCCGCATCGACCCTACGACCATCCTTGTGGTGGTGGACATGCTCACCAAGATGGCCCATTTCATCCCATGCCGCGGACTGCCATCGGCCCACACCACGGCCCGTCTGTTCCTGCAGCACATCTTTCGCCTCCATGGCCTGCCAGACAGGGTGGTGTCGGACCGCGGAGCCCAGTTCACGGCCCGCTTCTGGAAAAGCCTAATGGCCGTGCTGGAGGTGCAAGTGTGCCTGTCATCGTCGCAACATCCGGAGACTGACGGGGGCACGGAGAAGGTCATCGGCATCCTGGAGCAGTACCTCCGCTGTTTTGTCAACCAGCAGCAGGACAACTGGGCCGAGTACCTTCCCCTGGCAGAGTTCGCCTTCAACAACTCCCAACACACCTCCACCCAGATGACCCCGTTCCATGCCAACGTCGGCTACCATCCACGGCTTTTCCCGTTGTCCATCTCGGATTCCCCTGTTCCCGAGACCCAGGACTTCCTCTCCAAGCTGCAGGCGGTGCAGCAACTGGTGAGGCGGCAGCTGATTCGGGCGAAAGAGGACTATAAACGGGTCGCCGACTGCTCCCGACGGGCAACGCCACTGCTGGCAGTCGGAGATCGGGTGTGGCTGTCCACGAAACACCTCCCCACGGACCAGCCTGTGAAGAAACTGGACCATCATTTTATCGGTCCCTTCCCCGTCGAGGCAGTCATCAGCCCGGTGGCCTACCGGTTGACCCTACCATGCTCCATGAGGATCCACCCCGTTTTCCATCGGTCCCTCCTGGTCCCTGAGGTCCCAGCGAGCCATCTCCGACGCCTGACGACACCTGCCCCCCCAGCCGCAGCCGATGAGGAGGACACCTCGACGTACGAGGTGGACAGTATCCGGGACTCCCATTGGCTGAAGGGGCGCTTCCAATACCTCATCGCCTGGAAGGGATATGGCCCCGAGGATTTCAGCTGGGTGGACGCTTCTTCCGTTCAGGCCCCTGACCTGGTACAGGCCTTTCACGATCGGTTCCCGTCCCGACCGCATCCTGACCGGCAGACCCAGGGGAAGGGCCCTGCGGTGGGGGATAGTGTTGTCGCTCTGTCTTGTGAGCCCCTCTTATCAAAGGAAGAAGGCTCCGAACATGAAGGAGAGGAGATGGCCAGGCCTCCCTCTCCAGGACCCTCCTCTTTGGCAATGCCTCAGGTGTCTCCCGATGGAGAAGAGATTGACCAGGAGCCAGGTGTTTCTGAGATTGGCCAGGAGCCAGGTGTTTCTGAGATTGGCCAGGAGCCAGGTGTTTCGGATAGTGAGGAAGAGAAGTTGTGGCTGGATCCACGCCAGTGTAGGAGCGACAAGCGTGTGCAGCAGAAAAGGAGACGTGCCAGAGATTAAGCTGAGTCACTGGACCACACCCCACAGACTATAAAAGGGAGGTGGTGGCCATTTGGACTCTGTGACGGACAAAGCTGAATCTCTGGTGTAGTAGTTTGCTGTGGACTTAATTTTCTAACTGTGTGTATTGTTTTTTGTTCTCTGAGTAAAAGTCTTGGCAGGCAGCTACGGAGCTGCTGCCAAGTTTTCTTATCTGTGAATTGGAGTGTGGAGAAGTTCTTTAACCCTTGGCTGGCTGTTTGGGTGTGTGTGTCTGACGGGGACAGAACAGGGCCTAGAACAGAGCCCTGGGACACCCCGCTACACACTTCCCTCCATGTAGATGCAGTTCCACTGAGGACCACACGCTGAGTACGGCTGGTCAGCCAACTATGAATCCATCTGTTGGTGATGCAGTCTAACCCACATTTTTCTACCTTATCAAGTAGTAGGTTGTGGTCTACTTTATCAAATGCCTTACTGAAGTCCAAGTAAATTATATCCACAGCATTCCTCTGGTCCACTAATTTTGTCTCTTGGTCAAAGAATGCAATAAGATTT